CTCGTCTGTTGCTCAGTCTAGCTGCGAGGCTGAGATCTACGCCGGTGCCATGGCGGCACAGGAACTCCGCTGGTTGACTTTCTTGCTTGTCGACTTAGGTGAGCGGCCTAGCTCTGCCCCGGTTCTGTATGCTCATAACAGGGCCATGATCCTCCAGTATCAGGAGCCTCGACTTGAGGGCAAAGCGAAGCACATCCAGCTACGGTACTTCCTCCTGCGCGAGCTTCAGCAGCGTCGCCAGGCCCGCGTAGTACACTTGGCCTCGGGGGCAAACACAACTGATATCTTTACTAAGGCGTTTCCGTCTAGAGATCATCAACGTCACTGCTTGCAGTTAGGTCGAGTCCCTGTTGACTCTCACTTGCTAGGCCCTCGATTGTGTACTCCTTTCTATTTATACCTTGCAGACTAGCCTTGTGGCTTTTCCTCCAGTAGTTGGACTAGTAGTGCCACCCTTGTTTGCTCTGTCTTGCTTGTACTCTTGCTGACTGGTCTTCGGGCCCCTGCCTCAGCGGTTGGACTAGTAGTGCCACCCTGAGCTGCGTGTTTCTTGCTCAGCACTACCTCTTATCTAGCCTAGGGGGTGTGTCAACTTATACATATATTGTTATGTATGTAGTGACAGAAACAATTGTCCAGATGTTTTGCATTAATTTGGATTTTTGGGCTTTCCGACCACTGTACATAAAGTCTTAATGTTTAATGGTGGTACGCTTTAGGAGGGGCACATAGTGGATGTGTTCACCACACAAAAATCCATGATAGTACACTGGATCTAACTTAGTGCCAAAAGATATACAAAGAGTACATCCGGACAATTATTTCCCAGGACAAAGAGCAAACTTCCGCGCAGCGTTTCTAGTACCTAGTCCACCAACACTTGGCCTTGATCACAACCTGCACCCTCCTAGGCATGTTATCTACGAGGTTAGTGCAAACCTTTACAGGGATCTTCTCGCACTCTTCCTAGACCCAACCTTTCGCATAAGGGGGTGAGCACCAAGAAAATCGCGAAGTATTTGAGCGTATGCAAGAGTATTGTGAACGATTTCTGACTGAATGTTATCTCTGAGACTAGCCACGCTAAGGTGTGGCCAAAGATGCCATAAGTCGATTGATTCTGTCTTATCACGGATCATCTTCGTCGTACCGTTGTAGGGTAAAATTACGAGCAGAGTGGTGAAAACTAGCGTATCTGTCGCGAAACTAAGGGTAACATAGCACGGTCGATTGTGCACCCTTGCACTATTAGAATCACGCTAGGATCTGTAGGTCTCATTACGGTGCAGCAGTCGAAGGAGCCACGAATGTTCAGAAAGAATATCCGGGTCGAGGTCTGGTGAGGAAAATGGTCACTCCAGTGCAACATACTTATACTCTCCAAGCCATTCCAAGCCATGTGTCGCGCCTAGGCTTGGAATGGGTTGGAGAGCATGAGTTTATAGCACTCGAGTGACCCTCATCCTCACCAGAACTCAACCCGGACATTCTTCCCCACCAGTCGGGGCTTCTTCGGCTGTTGCACCATGGCGAGACCCGTAGATTTTAATGTGATTCTATTAGTGAAAGGGTGCACAATGGACCATGCTATGTTACCCTAAGTTTCGCGGCGGACACGCTTGTTTTCGCCACTCTGATCGTAATTTTACCCTATAACGGTACGACGAAGACGATCCATGATAAGATGGGACTAATCAACTTATGACACCTTTGGCCACACCTCAGCATGGCTAGTCTCAGAGATAACATTCAACCTGAAATCATGCTCAATACTATTGCATACGCTCAAATACTTCGCGATTTTCTTGGTGCTCACCCCCTTATGCGAAAGGTTGGGTCTAGGAAGAGTGCGAGAAGATCCCTGTAAAGGTTTGCACTAACCTCGTAGATTACATGCCTAGGAGGGTGCAGGTTGTGATCAAGGCCAAGTGTTGGTGGACTAGGTACTAGAAACGCTGCGCGGAAGTTTGCTCTTTGTCCTGGGAAATAATTGTCCGGATGTACTCTTTGTATATCTTTTGGCACTAAGTTAGATCCAGTGTACTATCATGGATTTTTGTGCTGTGAACACATCCACTATGTGGCCCTCCTAAAGCGTACCGCCATTAAACATTAAGACGTTATTTACAGTGGTCGGAAAGCCCAAAAACCCTCATTAATGCAAAACATCCGGACAATTGTTTCCGTCACTGTTAGTTATAGGCTAGATAGGGTATGTTCTTAGTGGGTACAACCCAAACGCTATATCTCCCCTGTTCTCCCTTCTTCTATTCATTCTTTCTAGTCTTAACACACGTAACGTATGCGCAACGTTACAAAACATGTATGTGTACGTGGGCCGGAATGACATATGGTACCAACTTAGATCAGCACCACCAGAAGCAGCAACAGTGGTAGTGGCAACGATGGCTGCAGTAGCAGCTGTGGCTTTAGCAGAAGCCGTCGGATTCGACCTGGGCCTGTTAATGCCCACCTAGGTCTGTAATCGCTCACCCAGGGCTGCCACCGTCCACCTGGGGGCTGTTATCCTCTATCTCACACCCCTTATCGCACCTGGGGGCTGCTATCCTCTATCTTACACCCCTTAGCGCACCTGGGGGCTGCTGGTCCTTGCGGAGGGGCTTGGCCTGCTTGAGAATGGATTCAAAGGCGTTGCGGCAAGATGCACTCGCCTTCTTCTTCGGCTGCGACGGCTTGCTTGCTGGGGGCATGGATTGCAAGTGGTGGGATGGCATGGCACGTTGTGTGCCTGCACGGCACATGGTGTGACGGCATGGCACTTGATGTGATGGCAGGACATGGAATGCCACAAGTAGAATGGCAGGGAAGTCAAAGGTGGTGTAGTGACACACGCTTGCCTTCTTTAGCTATGATATATTCGCTGCTCATGTTGAGAGATGGTGTGGTATGGTGTAGAGTGGTGTTGTGCGGTGTGGTGTGGTTCGGTGTGTTGGGATGTGGTGTGGGATGGGGTGGGTTGGGGTGGGATGGCACAGCGTGCATGAAAACGTAGCGCAAAAAATGATTGATGCGTGTATGAGTACGGGGATATGTAGTGTGGTGCTAATCGATGCACCACAGCAAGCTCCTGAAAATGGCGTGCGGGGCATTTACGGTACATGCGAGGGCGAATGGCCTTATAGCACTGGAATGGCATGCTCACGTGCAGGCATGAAATGGCATGCTTACGCATAAGCATGGAATGGCATGCTCAGGCATGGAATGGCTTGCTCAGGCATGGCATGGCATGCTCAGGCATGGAGTGGCATGCTCAGCCATGGAGTAGCATGCTCAGGCACGGAATGGCATGCTTAGGAATGGAATAGAGGCTGGTGTTGAGTGGAGGGGTGTGACAGGAAGGGAGTAGGCGGAAACGGCGGGTGGGTGGGAGTAAACGGCTGCCTGCTGATGGTGCGGTGATGGGTTTGCATATTGTGCTGCTGATGCAGAGGTAGAGGGAGCGTCAGATTCAGCAATGCAGCACAAGGAGAGAGACAAGGTCACTGCGTGAAGGGTAATAAAGAGAGGCGATCACGACCTTGTTTACAACAAACAAACGAGGCATGGAAGCAAAAGACATTCACAAGACATTAACAAGCACGGGAAAAGATGTAAAAACTAGAGTGCCTACTGCCCTTGACAACAAGGACACATATGTCGCTTCACCATATAACGAAGGTGCGAATGAACTCACGCCGTTTTACTCCCTGCGTTTCTTGCTTGCCTGTTGCCTTTTTTTCCTTTCCCCTCCCCCCTCTCCCCCCCCTCCCCCCCTCTCCCCTCACCACTGCTACTGCCCTTGCTCACCCGGCCTCCGTCCTACCCACCTCCTTCCCTCCATCCCTTCCCTGCTGCTGCTGCTGCTGCCGCTGCTTATGCTGCTACTGCTAGCATGCCCATGCGCCCTACAAGCATGCACCGTTCGCAAAGATCCTTTCGCATGTCAAGTACGGCCTTGGCACAGAAGCCATGCGCCACCAACGCGATTCCCTAGCTCGCCCCATCCCGCTTACGTGTGTCGTCCATTCTCCCCCACAGTTGAAGCCCGCCCGATTACTCATTCCATCACCCCCCTTACGTTTCATTCCCTTCGCTTTGCCTGCGCATGTGCCTCCCGCCGTTCCCCCGCCCCCAGCCCTGCCAGCTCCACCAGCCCCGCCAGCGGTTGCCGCGGCCGGGCGCAGGTGCAACCTGCGCAGAGCCCACCAGCCCCGCTGAGTCGCCCCCATTGGCCTGCATCGCGCCGCCGTCGCTGTCGCGACTTGCCAACCGCCACTGCAATCTACGTCACAGCTAGACCGAGGGGGAAAGCAGCCCGCTTCGGCTGCATCGAGCCTAACCCGGGGAATAATACATTAGGCTAGGACAAACCAAACATGATAGGCTTGGGAATAAGTGCACTGTGGAATAGAGTGGGAACGGGCAATCACGTTCCTGTAGCATACCAATGCCATTTGAGGGAAATGGGCGATTTTCGTTTCACCGATTGGTGAACCAGCATCTTGCACTCACGAAGCGCGTTTTACAAATATAGGTAACGGCAGGAGTATTCCCGAGGGCTGCAAGCAAGCGTCTAATACTACGAAAGCGCGACGAGTCTGTCCGTCATAAGCGCGATGAGCCCAATCAAAATGGTGGGAAAGCATGCGAACCCCTTGTGAACTACCTCGCGAAAACATTTCGGCGCTTCAATCACGCGACGAAAAATCAGGCGACGACCGAAACAGATACCAGCTAAACAAATATGTTCGCGACATCAACCCTGTGTTACGTATGCAAATAAGAAAACACGACGAGCTGATTAAAAAAAAGGGGATGGCCTTGAAAAAAAAAAGCAGATACCACATGCGAAGCGAGCACTAGTTTACTACGATTTGGCGACATTCGACTCGTTGAATCCGTCACAGAGGTCGAACCTACATGAAACGTTCCAGTGTCCGACGAGGGCGGGAACAAAGCTCGTTTCAAATTGCAGTTCACCTATCGCACCACAATTCGCGCTTCAAGCCGCCCGAGCAGTCGATTTCGAAACCCAGACCGTGCGTAGCGTTACAACTGCTATACCCTACATGGCGGCACCCCACGCCCTAGCCGCGGCGTCCAGTGAGAGAGCCGTCCTCGCTGCCGCGTAACCGCGTCGCAGTTCGCACTCGCCTCTCTTGCCGCGGCCCCCTTCATCCTCCCTCTCTCGTCTCTCTTCCTCCCGTCCTTCGCTGCGCGCCGTTGCTGTCGTCATCCGAGGGAGTCCCCTCTGCCTTTCCCCCGAACCCCTCCCGTTTCCGCTAGCCCTGGTCGCCATTAGCACGTCTCCGCTGCGCACCACGTTCTCTCTCCACACTCCTCCGTTCAGAAGCAGCAGGCATGGCGGCTGAGCTTACATCTCGCCTCGGTCTGCCGGACCTCTCCCTCTCTCTCCCCTTCTCCGTCCCTCTTACTGCCGTCGTCGCGCTGCTGCTCCTGCGTGTGCTGCTCGTGCTGCGCGCCGTGGGCCAGCCGCATCGCAGGAGACGGCTGGGCGACCGCCTCTCGACGCTCGTCGTGCTGGGCTCAGGTGCGCTGTGCCACTCCCCTCCCTCCAATCCTCTGATTTTCCTCAAAGCTCACAGCCAGCCCCGCCCTCCCAGACCTCTACGCACCGTAGGAAACGGCCGGGCGACCGCCTCTCCACCATCGTCGTGCTGAGCTCAGGTGCTCCACCTCGCCCGGCAGCCTCGTTATTCTCCACCTCCCTGCAGCGCAACCCTCTCCATCCCCTCCTTGTTCACCGCCCTCCGCCACACTTCCCCCTCTCCCCCTTTCCCCCCCCGCCACACCCCCCCCAACCCCCCATACTTCCTTCCTCCTCTCCCTTCCGTTGCCGCTTCTATATCTTCCTGCGAGTCGTAGGCACCTCCCCCCCGTGTCCCCCACACACGGACCTGGCCACCCTCCCTGCGTGCCCCGGTCTGCCCCCCCCAGAGACGCTGAATCGCGTTTGCGTGCACTGCCTCGCCCACTGCTCCCTCGCTGCTACAGCACACCATTTCACACGCTTTTCTCCCATTCACCCCGCACATGTATCTCCCCTCAACCCCACACGCCTGTGTGCCTCCTCCCACCAGGCGGGCGCACAGCTGAGATGCTGAGTCTGGCGCCCTCGCTCTACCGTGCGTATTCTCACTACCAGCACTGCTATCACACATACACACACCGGTATCTTATCCCTTCACTCCCACGCGTGTCTGTGCGCCTGCCTGCCTCCCCCCAGCAGGCGGGCACACGGCGGAGATGCTGAACCTGGTGACGGCACTCAGCCCCGCGCACTACTCGCCGCGCTGCTACATCGCGGCTGCCACGGACGCCATCAGCCTGCGCAAGGCACGCGACCTGGAGAGCACGCTCGCCAAGGCAGCAGCAGGGGTGAGGACGCCCGGCCAGGGCATGCCACGCTGCCGGCTCTCGTGACATCAAGTCTCTGCCGTTCCTGGCTGTGCCACGTGCCCTTCACTGTGTGCCACGTGCCCTTCACTGTGTGCCACGTGCCCTTCACTGTGTGCCACGTGCCCTTCACTGTGTGCCACGTGCCCTTCACTGTGTGCCACGTGCCCTTCACTGTGTGCCACGTGCCCTTCACTGTGTGCCACATGCCCTTCACTGTGTGCCACGTGCCCTTCACTGTGTGCCACGTGTCCTTCACTGTGTGCCACATGCCCTTCACTGTGTGCCACATGCCCTTCACTGTGTGCCCCGTGCCCCTCACCTGGACCTGTCTCGTGGGCTGCTTGCTGCTGAAATTCCTCCCCACCCTACCTCTCCCCTCGCTCTCCGTCCCATCCATTTCAGACCTTTAGTCTCCCTTCTTTAATTCTCAGACCCCTTCCACTGCCTGTTGACCATCTGACCACCTGCTTGCTGGTGGTGTGTCGGAGTCGCGAGGTGTGGCAGTCTTGCCGCACCTCCATCCATGCGGCTTCCCTCGCGCTGCACCCGTCCCTCGCCCCACCCACCCCAGGACGCACCCACTTCGCCCTCCTCTCCCCCCTCCCCCCCCACCTTCCTGTCGGTCTACCGGAGTCGTGAGGTGGGGCAGTCGTACGTCACGTCGGTGGCCACCACCGTGCTCGCCACGCTGCACGCCATGGCGCTCGTCGTGCGCATCACACCGGATCTGGTCAGTACCTTTGTTCTGCTAATCTGTAACCTGGTAACATGCCAGCCTGGTACTCTGTAGCGTGCAATGGTCGGCCTCGCTGTTGCGCAATGTGTATCACGTAATGCTGCTGCGGTTCCCTGCCTTCCTACCGTGCTCGTCATTCACCACACCTTCGCCATCCCTCTCTCTCCCCCATTCTGCAGCTGCTCTGCAACGGGCCCGGCACGTGCGTGCCGATCTGCATCGCTGTCTTCACTCTGCATGTGAGCGCATCCCATCCAGACGCTGATCCATCTGCGCTCCATCCTGCTTCTTCACTCACCCTCATCTTCACCATCACGCCTCTGCAACCACCTTATCCACCGCTCACACACTCACTGCCAAGTCTAACTCTCCACCATTTCCCCTTCTATGCTACTCCCATTGCTGCAAGCGCTAGTCCTCAATCGCATAAGGATTTGGCTCCTTTGCGGAGAGTGGGGCGTGAGTGCACCTGCTGTCACTCGCAGCCAGCCCACAGCACCGACAAGTTTTCTGTCGCCGCTGCTCAACCCCCTGTTGCTGCATGGCAGGTGCTGGGCATAAAATGCAGCAGCATCGTGTTTGTGGAGAGTGTGGCGCGCGTTGAGAAGCTGTCGCTCACCGGCAAGCTGCTGCACCGCCTCGCCATAGCGGACCGCTTTTTCGTGCAGTGGCCCGAGCTTGCCAGCAGATACAAGGGCACGCGCTACGTGGGCCGCCTCATGTGACTCCAAGGCTTTGAGCTGAGCTGGTTCAAGCCGAACAGACTCAGTGGCGCAGTGCTGCAACACCTGGGAAAACAGACAGGTTCTTCGTGCAGCGACCCGAGCTCGCCAGCAGCTATAAAGCCGCTCGCTACGTCGGCCGCCTCATGTGCCTCGAGCACAAGCTGAGGTGACTTGAAGCTATGAAGCAGGCTGCTGCACCCGCTAGGCAGGCCTGTGGGACAGATTTCCCGTGGTACGTTAGCCACAGCTCGCCACCACACCCTCAGACTGAGGTACACTCGTTGCCTCTACTGGACACAAGATAACTCAATAAATTGTTGTACGTTTAACAATGAACAGAAAAGTCTTCATTGCACGATCACTACCGGACGAGCAGGTGGCATTGAGACCACCCTCCACCACCCAGCCCTCTCTACGCCCCCAGCTGCTTCACCAGCTCGCCCCGCCCCAGCGCCAGGGCCTCCTGCAGCTTCTCCGGCTGCCGCCCCCCCGCCTGGGCGAAGTTGGGGCGCCCCCCACCCCCTCCCCCGCACACGCGCGCCATGGCACCCACCAGCTTGCCTGCATTCACACCCGCCTTCACCACCTGGGGGAGGATGCAGGTTGAAGGGAACGAGGGGAGAGATAGGGGAGAGAGGGGGCATGTTGATGGGCAGCACAGCAGGGGGGTGCTGGAGGCGCCGCCTCACACCACACTCTTGCCATGGCGCTCACCAGCACGCCCGCGCTCAGCCCCGCTTTCTGCACCTGGCGCAGCACAGGGGATGGGGGAGAGAACGAGGTGCGGGCGGAGGGCAGTGGGACAGCGGGAGTGTGTGGAAGATGCATTGTTGATGGCGTGGAGTCCAAGCCAGCAGTGCGCATGGCAGTGAGAGAGCACGGCACCACATGACCCCGACACGCTGCATGCCCACTCGCCCTCACCTCAGGGCTGAGCACGGCCACGATGGCCACCTTGCCCTCGTCCTCGCTGCCCGACGCCAGCACCACCGCACTCGGGCTCGCATCAGCAGCTGCGAGACGCGCCGAAAGGCTCTCTGCTGCCGTCTTGAGCGCGTCGGCCGTCACCCCGGGCAGCTCTGCTACCAGCAGCCTGGGAGGGGCGGGGGAGGGAGACACGGTGACGGTGCTGCTTGCCTTGTGTGGGAGCCAGACAAGGACCAAGTGTGCTTTGTAGCGCGCTAGGGAACCTGGCGGGGGCGGGATATCGATCCCCTCCTTCCAAGCCCCCTCGCCATAAATTTCCACGCATGCTGCCACCCCATCACCCCCCTCGTCTGCACCCCATGCTCACCTGCACCCCATCTCCCCCACAGATACCGCCTCCCCCAGCAGCAGCTGCGCACGTGCCACAGCCAGCTCGCCCCGCAGGCTGTCCGCCTCGGTCCTGGCGGCACGCAGCTCGTCCTGCAGGGCGGCCACCCGCGACGGCACCTCCTCCGCCTTCACCTGGCCGGGGGGGGAGCGAGAGAGGGGAGAGCGGGGTTGGCAGGTGCGCGCCAAGCTAAGCGCACCCTTGAGACGCTCCGCCTGCACTCCTTGCTGCCCGCTGCTCGTCCTGCGGTGCCGCTTGGGATGGCACCAATGGGGGCTGGGGGTTCAGGAGGGGGGGGGGCGTGCGGTCGGGTGCAGGGTGGTGCCGAGGGGTGGTGCAGGGTGGTGGCGAGTGGTGGTGCAGGGTGGTGGCGAGTGGTGGTGCAGGGTGGTGCCGACTGGTGGTGCAGGGTGGTGGCGAGTGGTGGTGCAGGGTGGTGGCGAGTGGTGGTGCAGGGTGGTGGCGAGTGGTGGTGCAGGGTGGTGGCGAGTGGTGGTGCAGGGTGGTGGCGAGTGGTGGTGCAGGGTGGTGGCGAGTGGTGGTGCAGGGTGGTGGCGAGTGGTGGTGCAGGGTGGTGGCGAGTGGTGGTGCAGGGTGGTGGCGAGTGGTGGTGCAGGGTGGTGGCGAGTGGTGGTGCAGGGTGGTGGCGAGTGGTGGTGCAGGGTGGTGTGGGGGAAGAGAGAGGAAGCGGAGAGGGCGCACCTTGAGCGAGGAGGAGAGCGTCTTGAGCACCCCGTCCCACTGGTTGAGCAGCTCCACTGCCGCGGCGCCCGCCACCGCCTCCATGCGCCGCACACCCGCAGCGATGCCCGCCTCGGAGAGCACCTTGAAGGCGCGGATGGCCGCCGTGTTGCCCACGTGCGTGCCGCCACACAGCTCCATGCTGATGCCCGGCACGTCGATCACGCGCACCTGGTGAGTGTAAGCCAGACAGAGGGGGCACGTGGGGGGAGAGAGAATGTGCAGAGTGGAAAGGAGTCTCAAAGCACGTGCATTCCGCCGCACAGCTCCCTGCTGATGCCCGGCACATCGATCACCCACACCTGGTTGGGGTAGCGGGAGAAGGATTGGGGGAGGGAGAAACACGTGCGTTAGAGGGATTGGTTTCTATCACGTGCCCTTCACACTCCTGCCATCTTCCTTCGAAGCGCCATGGCAAGTTCCCTCAACCCTTCCCCCCCCCTTCCCCCTCTCCCCTCTCCCCTCTCCCCTCTCCCCTCTCCCCTCTCCCCTGCCCTCGTCCCTCCTCCACCCCGCCCTCTTCCCTCCCCTCTCCCCTCCCCCACCGTCCCCCCTCCCCTCTCCCCCCTTCCCCTAACCCCTTCCCCCCCCCCTCACCTCGTCGCCATACTTCTCCCCGAACATTGCAATGGCACCAGCCGCCTTGGCGTCATCGATGGGCATCACGGTCGCCGTCACAGCAGCGCCCTGCGCGATCCACGCGTTCACCATCGCCTCCACCTGCGCCACCTCAGCGGGGGCGAGGGCGCGCGGGAAGTGGAAGTCGAAGCGCAGGCGGTCAAACGCCACCAGACTGCCCGCCTGTGCCACGTCGGGGCCCAGGACCGCGCGCAAGGCGGACTGCAGGAGATGCGTCGCCGTGTGGTGCGCCTGAGGAGGGGGGGGGGGGGGGGGGAGAGAGGACGAAAGAGGGGAGGTGTTGGGGGTCAGAGAGGGGGAAGGAGAAGGGGACGGAGGTCGAATCAAATCTGGGATACGAGAGGAAGCAATGTGTGAAAGAAAAACGCCCACATTTTGGCACCGCAAGTGAATGGAGGAGAGTGGGTAAAAGACCTCTTTGTAGTCCAAACACACTACTTCAGCTGCCCCCCCCCCATTGAAGCATTGCCGCATCGCCTCACTTCAACTCACCACCTGCCCCTCCACTCTAATCTGCTCCTCTTGTCTCACCTGCGATCTCACTCTCACCTGTGGCCTCATGTCACCTGTGGCCTCATGTCACCAGTGGCCTCATGTCACCTGTGGCCTCAGGTCACCTGATCTCAGTCTCACCTGCGACCTTAGCCGCTGCTCCTCATCCACCACCGCCTCCACCTCGTCGCCCACACACACCTCCCCCTCCTCCACCACCCCCCTGTGCAGCCACAGCCCGCCCCCCGCCCTCTGCACGTCCCTCACCCGCACCACCCCTCCCCCTGCCTGCGCCCCCCCCTCCCCCTGCGCCACTCTCATGTGCCCCCAGTCGCCGATCTGCCCGCCGCCCTCCGCATAGAAGGGCGTGCGCGCCAGCACCACGTCCACCTCCTGCCCCACCGCTGCGCGCTCCACAACCTTCCCCTGCCCGACCAGGGCGAGCACGGGCGAGGAGGAGGCGAGGCATGTGTACCCCACGAACTCCGTCTCCGGCAGCTGCCCCGCGAGGTCGGCCGCCACGCTGCCCACTGCCAGCTTGATGGCGCTGTGCGCCGCCTGCGGGGGTGGCACGGGGGGGGTGAGGGAGGTGGGCAAAAGAGGGACGGGCGCAAGGTGTAGCGCAGGCGAGGGAGAGGCGTTTCAAGCAAGGTAGATTGGAAGAAAGGACAAGCAAAGCAACCGATGATCGAGGAAGTCGCGAGGAGAGAAGAAGAGAGCATGCAGCAAGAGACGAGGGAGCGCTTGCCTACATACACGCCCAATGGGACTGCTGGTACCTGCGACTGGCGCCTCTGCGCGGCCATCTCCCTCTCAAAGCCCTCCAGGTCCACGGCGACGCCCCTCTCCCGCGCCACCTCCTCCGTGATCTCCACGGGGAACCCAAACGTGTCGTACAGCACAAACACGTCCCGCCCGCTCAACACAGGGCCGCTCGCCGCCTCCCCTTGCCCCTCCGCTCCTGCCCCATCAGCAGCAGCCCCGTGAGTAGCACCGCCAGCACCAGCAGCAGCCGCCAGGGCGTGGTCCAGCAGGTCGTCCAGCAGCTTCTCGCCGCGCTCCAGCGTGGCGGTGAAGCGCTCCTCCTCCCGCCGCAGCTCCTCCACTATGCGCTCCGCCCGCACCGCCACGCCGCTGTTGATGTCCGCGCTCATGGCGATCACCTGGTGGGGGGGAACGCCAGGGCCTGCGGTGAAGGGCGGGTCGCCTCATCTCCTCCCGCCTCTGCTCCTCCACTATCATCTCTGCCCGTGCTGCCATGCCGCTGTTGACGTCCGCCCTCATGGCGATCACCTGGTGGGGGGGAACGCCAGGGGCTGCGGTGAAGGGCGGGTCGCCTCATCTCCTCCCGCCTCTGCTCCTCCACTATCCTCTCTGCCCGTGCTGCCACGCCGCTGTTGATGTCCGCCCTCATGGCTGTCACCTGGTGGGGGGGAACGCCAGGGCCTGCGGTGAAGGGCGGGTCGCCTCATCTCCTCCCGCCTCTGCTCCTCCACTATCCTCTCTGCCCGTGCTGCCACGCCGCTGTTGATGTCCGCCCTCATGGCTGTCACCTGGTGGGGGGGAACGCCAGGGCCTGCGGTGAAGGGCGGGTCGCCTCATCTCCTCCCACCTCTGCTCCTCCACTATCCTCTCTGCCCGTGCTGCCATGCCGCTGTTGATGTCCGCCCTCATGGCTGTCACCTGGTGGGGGGGAACGCCAGGGCCTGCGGTGAAGGGCGGGTCGCATCATCTCCTCCCGCCTCTGCTCCTCCACTATCCTCTCTGCCCGTGCTGCCATGCCGCTGTTGATGTCCGCCCTCATGGCTGTCACCTGGTGGAGGGGAAGGGGATGGGGGGGATTGGGAGTTGATGGGAAGGGGGGAGTTGAAGGGGGGCTTATTGCGCCTCCCCCCGTCTCAGCTCCTCCACGATCCGATCTGCTTGCCCCACCACGCTGCTGCTAATGTCCTCGCTCATGGCCATCACCTGGTGGGGGGGGGGTCGGAGGAGGTGGGGGAGAAAGGTGAGAGGGGCGAGAACAAGTCACAGGAGCACGTGGCACACACACGCCCCATGCTACAGCGCGGTCAGTCCGCCCCAGCACGTCCGCCGCCATCCATCACCCGGCGAACGGGATGCGATGGAGACGAGGCGGCACG